CTGCGCCCCGTGGACCCGGCCGCGCCGGCCCTGCCCCTCTAGACTGCCGTGGCGGAGCCCGGGTGGAAGGAGAGGGGCGGGCGGCCGCCGCGCCCTGCACCCTCTTCCTCTCTCGCTGTCTCTGTCCCTGTCTGTCTCTGACACCGTCGCTTGTTTCCGCTCTGATACCAGGAATTATCCTGAAAAGTTAACATGTCACCTCCACGAAGCCACCCTCTGCTCCGCGCCGGACACTTGGGACGGAAGGCAGCCGCTGCGGACCCGCCCTCCCTCCCCTCCTGCCGCTGCCCGCCGGGTGGCGAGGCCCCGGCCCGTCCTGCTGCCCGCCACCCGCCTCCCGGCTCCGCTTGACTCGCGTGGGGGCCCGGCTCCGGGACACCTCCATCCTCCGGCCCCGAGTCAGACTCCCGGCAGGACTGACCGCCAGGCCACCCTCCAGGCGGGGGACCCGCGGTGCCGAAGCAGCAGAGACAGACCCTGCCCGCCTCCGCGCCCTGCCGGAGCTGCCTGGCCTCCGCCTTCGCCGCCCCTTCATCCCGGCGTGCGCCGGTGCCGCCCGCCCCATCTGGTCTGCGCCCCATCCTCCGGCTGCCTCGCTCTGGGGTCTGGAGGTGGCACCTGGCTTTGATGATCTTCATGGCGAAGGTGGAAAGAGACACCCTGAGGCACCAGCGCAGGAAGAGGGTGGCTGCCTGCCCGCCAGGACCCCGCCAGCCGGACCCCCGCCAGCCGGACCCCCGCCCGTCAGCCGGGGCCATATCCTCCGGGCGGCCGTGCTGCAGGCGGGCTCCACCAGTATTGCTCACTCTCGATAACTGAGTTCCTTACTTCTCTGTCAGGGAAGGGGCAGAGCGGCAATCTCCTGCCGTCTGTCTGTGTCTGACTCCATGTCACCGGCGGATGGGGTCTCAGGCCGTGGGGCCTTGGCGGCCGGGCGGGCAGGGCGGCAGGCCGGTGAGCGCAACACTGGCAAGCTACTGTAAACTTTAAAGAATTCCTGCAAGATATTTTTATAGACTTTTTTCCTTGGTTGTTTTTGGAAAAGGGAGCGGGGGTGGGGAACCGCTGGGCAGGATGGATTTGCGTTTCAGTTCCCCCCCGTTATTTCTATACGCACATACATATATATATATTTAAAGAACGTCGCGGTTAGCTCTCTGGGGGTCCGTTTCGTTACTGTGTAGACGCTTCTCCAGCCCCCGTGCGGGGGTGGGGGGGATGGCACCGCCGGCCCCTCTGCCCAGGCACAGGCTGGGGAACACCCTTGGTTTTGTGTCCAAGAGCTGAGGGGAGGGGTCGGAGGAGGCCTGGGGCTCTGCAGGTTTTTTATTAAAATGACAAAAAGTTCAAAAAAAAAAAAAAGGACTGAGAAAGTGGAGGTACCCCTCTGTAGCGGGTTTTCTCTTGTACATAACCAGGCCACGGGCGCTGCCTGCCCACCACCGCACCCCAGCCAGCGCCGTGCCTCCCGCCATGTCCGGCTTCTGTTCGTGTTCTTTCCGTCGGCGCCATGGGCCCAGCTGGCTGCCAGGCGCCCTGGTGCACGCCCGGGGGTGGCCGGGGAGGCAGAGCTGCGGCCGGTGGTCTCACCTGCATGCCCCCGCTCTGTCCTGCCTCGCTGCCCGCCGCCCCTGGTGTATAGATTTTAATGCTTCTGTTCCATTGAACCTCCACCACAGGCTGGATCTCGATCCCAGAGACAGTTCCACGCCTGCAACAGCGAGATCCACGCGGTGCGAGCAGGAGGAATCACCCGCAGACCGGCGTGCCTGCCCGAAAGCAATACCTCCCGTTAGCCTCCCTCTTTTGTACTTCGGACACACACGGATACCACAAAGCAAACGGACAAGCCCCACCCAGTGTACCCTTGTCAATAACTGTGAGCAACCTGAGTTCTGGAACAATAAATCCCTTCATAAAGACACCCCACACACAGTCTGCGTCCGGGCGGGCGGGCATGGTGGGACCACCGGGCCAGTATCATCCCCGAGGGACTGTCTCTGCCCAGGTTGGACGTGCATCCTCTGCCCTGGCTGAAGAGGACAGAGCTCACACGGGGTCAGTATCCATTTCCGGCATGTCAGGGCCATCCCCCGGGGCAGCCTCTGCCTGGGCCGGGATCACATTTAGGGCTGGGGCTCAGGCAGGGCGGCGAGGCCCAGGATGTGTTGAGGCACTGGAGCACCGCTGGGAACAGGATGCAGGGCAGGACAGAGCCTCCTCACCACAGCTGCTGCCGCCCCGAGACGCATGGGGTCACCCCGGCAGGGCCTTGTTTCTGGAGGACAGACCTGCTGTCCGCTCCTTTCTTGGGAAGAGGCCGATGGCACATGAGCCCGGCCCTGGAAGCAAGGCACTAGGGCTGGCTGGGTAGCTCTGAAGACAGCGAGGGTGGCCTTGTTCATGCCCAGTGCAGAGGGGGCTCTGGACCTTCTGCTTTAGCCCCACATTGCCTGGGCAGAGCCCAGGGAACCCCTGCCAGAGCCTCAAGCATGGGTGAGAAGCAACCCTCCACCTTCTCCATGCCCCCAGAACCTGCCCCTTCCCGGCTTGCTGTCATGCACATGCACACACAGACACACACACTGGGCCCCTTTGGCTGGGCTCTCTCACACATGCATAGGGGTCCTCACACATGGTGAGAGACGCAGCAGTGTGGTCCCATGGCCCGTGGTAGTGCCAGACTTTGCACCCAACTGTTATCTCTGCAGCAGAGTTTCTACCACTGGCACCACTGCCAGTGGGGCTGGATGATTCCTTCTAGTAGGGGCTATCCTGTGTGCTGTCAATTGTCCCTGAAGTGTGAGTTGAGAGCTGCTGCTCTCGAGCTGAAGGAAAGCCGAGTGCCCCTTGCCTCTGGCTTCCTCGCAAGCAGGGGGCTTTGCCAAGAAGGGCAGCTTCTCAGGTTCAAGACATTGAAAAGTCTGCTGAGGCAAGGCCGGGGTCCCCCTCTGCCCATCCCTGAATGTTACCCTGCCCTTGGGAGGTGGGTGCCCAGAAGTACTGTGGAGGCCGAGGGGACCAGGTTCTACTCCAACCAGAGTTGCACAGTTTTCTAAAAACAGGATGAAAGATAGAATCTGGCTGCTACAGTCCAGCCGGGTACATGGTTGTCTGGCTCTTGGGGTCCAAGGCTGCTGGCCATGGGGAGAAAGAGTTCTTGACCTGCTTTACTGAATGAGCAGCTGGCACACAGAGACCTCATTTTCCTCTATTTGGCCATCTAAATGATTGGAGTCTAAAGTGTCAGCTTTAATGGGCTCGTGATTACACTCCCACAAGAAAACAGAACATAGTTTACCCAAATAGACCTGCCAGCTCCCCACCTGTCCACCATCGCTCCCCTTTGGCTCAGGAATCTCCATATGAGGGATGATTTCCCGCAATCCCACTTACAACACCAAGCTCTTGCTTGCCTGTAAAGTAACAGAAACCAAGACAAGCTGGCCTAAGTGAAAAGTTGTTAATATTTATTAATATAAAATCAAATGTATATATAATAAAAACAAACACATAAGGGCTTCCTAAGTGCCAGATGTTATTCTTAGCACTTTACATGTATTGAGCCAATTGGTCCTTAGACCATTCCTATGGAGTAGGAACTAAAATGGAGGCTTTTTAAAAAAGAAAGATAAGGTGGTGGGTCTGGCTGCCCAGTTAGAGGATGAACCTCTCAGCCTCAATTTTCAGTCCCAGGTAGCTAAATGACTGGCCCACACTGGCCTGTGGGCTGCGTCCTGGGGGACAAGTTGACCTTGGTGAGCCCACTGATGTAATCATGGGGATGGATGGTGGAGAAAGACGATCTGACACATTCCCACAAGGGCTCTGAATGGTAGCAGGTGATAGGGGGGCTGGTTCAGCGCACACACTGGAGGGAAGAGAAAGGTGGGAAGCAGGCTGGCCTGAGCTCTGCTCTGCCAGGAGCCTGCCCTGGACCTTGTCCATGCCATCAGTTGATGGTGGATGCAGAGGATCCTACAGACTTGCAGGCTGTGAGATGGAGCAATTCCTGGTGCCCTGAGGCCTTACAGCTGGGGAGAAGGACAACTCCAGTGTAGGATGCTGCAGCAACCTTGCTCGCACACCTCCCATGCCAGGGAGCGCACCAGTGGTGGAGGCCCCATCCCCGCTAATGGCGCTGCCTCCTCGTCCTTCCCTCCCTCACCCCAGGCCACGAGGTGTTGAATCACCAACTCCAGCCCCTCCCCCCCACTACATTGACTTCTTTCCCTACCTCTTTACATCGTCTCTCTCCTGGCTTCACCCCACCCCCACAAGTCTCCTTTGGTGTGATTCAGCAAGGGGTGGAGGTTAGCAGGGAGCCACAGAGAGGATGACCAATGAGAGGAGGGAGAATCAGTCGTGAACTTCAAGGCAGTGAGTGATGCCTGCCAGAGGAGGGGAGGCAGCTGGGACTGCTGGAAGCAAGGGAAGGGGCATCTCTGACTCAGGGAAGCCAAGCGCCAGCCTTGTGGCTTGGAGGAGGGACCGCAAAGTCTACGCATCAGTCAAGCTCATGAGAGCTGACGTTTGTCGGGCCATCCTGGGGACCAGGCTAGGTACTCTCATGGATCATCTCATCGTGCCCCCAAAACAACCCTGTGAGAGCACCATGGCCCATCATACACGTGTATTAGTTCCCTGTGGCTGCCATAACAAGTTGCCACAAACTTCATGGCTTAAAATAACACAAATTTGTTATCTTAACAGTTCTGGAGGTCAGAAGTCCAAAATGGGTCCCACTGGGCTAAAATCAAGCTGTCAGCAGGGCTGTTTTCCTGGAGGCTTTAAGGGAGAATTTGTTCCTCGCCTTTCCCAGCTCCTAGAGGCCGCCTGCATTCCTTTGCCTCATGGCCGCTCCCTCCATCTTCAACGCCAGCAAGATCAGGCAGGCCGAGTCCTTCTCATGCTTCCATCTCTCTGGTTCTCCCTCTTTCACTTTCAAGGACTTTTCTAATTACAATGGGCCAGCCCCTTCTCAAGGTCAGCTGATTGGCAACATTTGCCTTAACCCCATCTGCAATTTTAATTCCCTTTTGCTATGTAAGGTAACATATTCACAGGTTCCAGGGATTAGGATGTGGACATATTTGGTGGGGGGGGCATTATTCTGCCCACTGCAGTCTGCCCTCTGGCCTTCAAAGACTGACATCCATTCCACATGCAAAATACACTTACTACATCCAAAGGTCCTCCAAAGTCTCAACCCATCACAGCACCGACTCCCAAATCTTATCATCCTAAATCATCTAAATTAGGTATGGGAGAGGCTCTGGGTACAACCCGTCCTGGGACAAAACTCCACTCCATCTGTGAACCTGTGAAACTAGAAAACAAGTTATCTGTTTCCAAAATATAATGATGAGACAGGCGTAGAATAACAGTTATAGACATTCCCATTCAAAAAGTGGGAAAATGGAAGGAAAAGAGGAGTTACTGGTCCCAAGTAATTTCCAAATCCAGCAAGGCAAACTCCACTAGGTTTCAAGGCCTGGGAGTAACCCTCTGTGGTTCAAGGCTCGGACCTCAGTGCTCACGGCTCCACCCTCTGGGTCATCCCTCCCTTTTCATGAAAGGTAGCACGTTTGCAGTGGAATGGTTTCACCTACCTGTAGGATTTTGGGGGTCCGATAGCCTTTCGTTTTGTCCTCTGTCTGTCCTTTTTGGCCCAAGCTGGTAGTGTTTTCTGCTGGTATAACATTCTCAAGAACCTTGTGGCTCCCCTGCATGTGTCATGGGGAATCACTGCATTACACAAGATAATTGTCCACAGATCCTGCCAAGATGATCTCTTCTCTATTTTCACCTTTTG